ACTAGGCCACCAGAGCTCCCCTTCAACTGACTCTTAAACGTAACAATCTTTATTTTCCCTCCAGACAGTATTTCACATATTTTCTCATGTAATAACTGTTTTCTTTGTGATCAGCTCTATCTGTAACCAGAGCTTTTCTCCATCACACTAAGATGTGTATGATAGAGATAGGTCACAGTGATTCCGTGATTCTTTGATCTATTGTTCTGCCTTCAGGTTTGTTTTAATCTCAGTTCTGTTTAGTTGTCTTTACAGATGGGACCTTTCTTTAGCTTATGGTGACTGTTAACAGTGTTTAAATTATTTTTCCTTTGAAATGCTTGATCTCTTGGTTTGTGGCTATAAAGTTTAAGGTCATTTGTGAGCTTTTCCTTTTTTGATTGACTTCATTTAACAATGTTTTGGGGCTCCATCCATTTCTCCTCTATTATCTGATAACTGTTGTGTTTAATACAGCATTTTTTATCTAGTTATATTAATGGACATTTTAATGATACCTTTTGGCTCTTGTTCATGATGAAAATTGGTGCTGTTATCTTTGTGCATTCTTAACTGCTTTAAGAATGTCCCCTGAGTTTTCAGAGGCTATAAATCACTCAGGAGATTAACTCTCCATAGGAGAGAAGTAGATTCAAGATGTCTACTTTTGGATTGATAGTGCAACTCCTTGTCAGTAGACCACCAGAGCTCTAGATAATGAGTCACTAGTAATTGAGATAGCGGCCTTAATTTGCTTTCTGAAAGACTTTGGCATGTGATTTCTTTCACATTAAGTGTTTTATGATTTTACTGTTCGTTGAATAAGACCTAGGCAAATAATAACAAGGTAACTACTTCAGAAGTTAGTGTAAAAAATAATTCTTTATTTTCAGTATCATGTATGTAAGATAGCCAAAAATTTGAAATGCATTTGTTAGCCAGGCAAGGAGAGATAGGCTTGATTTTGGTGTATCAGAGAAAGGTATAAATTCTGTTAGCAGTTTTTTTGAATGGGAATGGATTTAAAAGGAATAATTGCAGCATGATGGGAGTTAACAGTCTACTTGGTACGTGGATCAATAGAGTGCAGTGTGGGGAATGTGCTATGAAAGGAGACGATCAGATCCATGGTGGGAATTCTAGAGCGGGGGAAAGAATGCCATCTGTAGATCCTGGAGTATTTCCTTAGCCGGTTTTTGGGAGACCAGTGAACACTCTTGAAGACTTTGTAGTAGTGAAACCTGCTAGAATATTTACATTCATGATTGGACAACTTTATTTTTTTTTTAGCCGCACTCTGACAGCTGTGCATGATGCAATCCTTGAAGACTTGGTCTTTCCCAGTGAAATTGTGGGCAAGAGAATCCGTGTAAAACTGGATGGCAGCCGGCTTATAAAGGTCCATTTGGACAAAGCACAGCAGAACAACGTCGAACATAAGGTAATGTTACAAAAAATTAGTAAGCCATTTGTCTCTATTCTACTTAGTATTTAAAATTGTAAGATTAGGTAATAGAGGTTAGCTAAGGAGGATAGAAGGAGAATTGATGCCTTTGAGCTGTGGTGCTAGAGAAGAGTATTGAGGGTGTCATGGACTGCCAGGAAAACAGATTCATCTTGGAGAGGATTAAACCAAGCTACTCCTTGGAGGCACGGATTCTGAGGTTTCCTCTGACATACTTTGGAGATGTTGTAAGGAGGGACCGGTCCTTGGAGAGGGACATCATGCTTGGTAGGGTAGAGGGACAGCACAGGAGGGGAAGGCCCTCTATGAGGTGGATTGATTGACTGGGGTAATCGGGATGGGTGTATCCGAGATGATGCGATTGGCACAGGACAGAGCAGAGTTTAGGGCTGTTGAACATAGCGTCGCTATGAGTCACAAGCCACTCGACAGCACATAATTCAACAACAATAGGATCTAGGAAGACATCACTTGGTTAAGACCTGATATAACCAATGTGGACAGCCACTGTTAGCATGATTGCCCAGTGGCTTTGTCCATGTGGCATAAAAGGAGCACAGCACTCTGGTGTAATGGTGTATAATCCTGTTACACAACATTGGAGATTGAGCTTGTCCCCGGTCTTCAGGCTGGTGAGGGCATGGTCCTGTATATTCCTTATCTTCTCAGTACCTGGTTGCTGAGGAGAAAAACCATACAGGGCACAATCTCCTGAGTGTATATATATGCCTTAGATGAATATGCATAAAAATACTTTGTAATGAGTTATTTTGTTCTTATCTTGCAGGTTGAAACGTTCTCTGGTGTGTATAAGAAGCTCACAGGAAAGGATGTTAATTTTGAATTCCCAGAGTTTCAGTTATAAACAAAATGATTAAATAAAGGTATTGTTCAGAGAATTTTTTGTTTGAGAAATGTTTTTCACAATCCCAGGAACACAAGTCCACATAGCTGTGTACATAACTAACAGGTTCCTTCAAACAAATAAAATGCTATGTTGCGGAAGATGCGCAGACATGAAGATTTTGGACAGAGGGCCTATAGTTTATACCACAAAATACGAAACACCTGAGGAATATTTGTTCCCGCTGATTTTTGTAATATATTTAGCTATAAGAAGACATGGTCAAATACAGCCAAATTGGTCAGGTTTAACCTAAAAATATATCATGACCTGGAAGACTTCATGATTGGCAATACAATGTCTGTGAGATCCAGTGGTTCTGGTTGCAACAGGGAGACACAAAGGACTGCTATGAGTTGGAACTGACGTGATTAATGGTACCCAACAACTCTGAAGTACAGATAATAGGCAAAAATATTTGCTCAGAAATGGTGTAAAGAATAGAGCATATGAGGTGAAGATTCTAGGGATGGCTCAAACCAAGTTATGCTATATTTATATTAACAGTGTATTCAAGATACACTTGAAAGGTCAGTGCTTATTGTTGAAGTAGAGCTATATCAAACAAGTTATATGGTAAAGTCATATCAGCACCCTGTCAGATTTCCAAGGGTAAAGGAAACCAGCCATCTTACTCTGCAAAGCAGCTTGTTAATTTCTACTATTTAGGGTTAGTGGTCCAGAACACTCTATGTTATATCGGAGCACAAGCTCCGATTACCCAGAGTAGGCCAAGAATAATTACAGAAACTTAATGTACAGCTCAACAACCCTTGACTTGTTCTGCACCATCTTCACAAGTCTGATAACTGACATGCCCATTGTAGTTACTATGTCCATCTCCATCTCCTGGAGGGCTTTCCTCTCACTTTCATGATGGTACATTAGCTTTGTGTGTTTTTCCTTTCTGGTCCCTGTTGGCAACATGGCCAAAGTAGAGACAAATGGTTTATCATCCTGCCTCTACTACACTTAACCCTTTAAGACAAACTGGAATTGTTGACAAAATTTTCTTCACCATGATTCCGTTACCTTTTGGTCCAGTAGTGAGGATTTTTGTCTTCTTAGCAATTCATATTGAGGATTAGTCTTTGAGACTTTCTGCAAGCAAGGTTGTGTGTGTCATGTAGGTTGCTGAGGAATCTCCAATCTGATTATTCATACAGTACATCTTTTCAAAGGATCTGGTCAGCATACAGATTGAATAAATAGGGAGGAGGAAGAACATTTTGTTTTTCCAGAAAAGTATAAAACCAATTAGTACACTTTAATGTACAGTAAAACATTTGACAGCCACAACTCAATTAGTCTACCGGGTTTTTTGTTTTGTTTTTTTAGCCTATTCTGCCCATGAGAGGGTGCATGCAGTTTTACCACTTTTACTGCTTGTTCTAATTGGGGGAGTAAAACTTTTGTTCTTTCCTTTAGATCTGCTACACATTCCAGCTTTTGCAGGTTTTACTCTATAAACCAGCGTGTTTACTGTATAATCCATCTGCCATCATTGTAGATTAATCCTGGCTGAAATAAGAATGTTTAACAGAAGAATGTTTTTATTCACTATGCAAAAGGCATTTGTCAGTGTGGATCATAACACTGTTGAGAAGGATTTGTGTCTCAGAACAGTTAATTTCATATGAAACCTGTAGACCTAGAGCTGTTGTGTGAACAAGAGCAAGGGAATGCTGCATATCAGGAAATATGGTATGTCAGGGATGTACTGTTTCTCCATACCTATTCAATCTATCTGTTAAGTGAATCAAGTAGGACTTAATGAAGAATTTGAGGAAGACTCAACATGGATTATGCAGGTGATTTAATCTACATGCTAAGTGAATCAGGAAGTTGGACTTAGTGATTTTGCCATCAGGATCAGAGGAAGACTCATCAACATGGATTATGCAGGTGACAAAAACCTCACTTGTGGAAAGTGAGGATGATGAAGCAGTTGCTGTAGAAGATCAAAGACTACAGCCAGCCTTCAATATGAATTCCGTTGTAACATCAAGACAATAATCCTAACCACTGAACTAATAAGGAACATCATGATAGAAGAAAAGTTGTCAGCTATTTCATCTTACTTGGATCCACAGTCAAACTTAGTACCACTACTTAGGAGATTAGGGTATGTATTGCATGGGTCAAGTTCTCTGTCATGAACCTCTCCAAATGACTGAGGAGCAATGATGTCAGTTTGAAGACTAAGGAGCTCCTGATTCCGGACATGCCTTTTCCATTACTTGCTATGCATCTGAGATCTGTGATGAATAAGGATGACAGAAAAATTGATGCCTTTGAGCTGTGATGTTGGGAAAGAGTAGTGACTTTCTCATGGACTGCCAAGAGAGCAATGTGCTAGAGATAGTGCAGCCTGTTAATGTTCCACTAAGTCACCTGCAACTCAGTGACCTCTGTAAACAGCTCTGAAGCTTGCCCTGTCCTGAGCCAGTCTCACTGACTCTGACACACCTCCATTGCCCCGGTAATTGTATCAGTTCATCTGATCCAGGGTCTTCCTCTCCTGCCTTCCAAGCATGATGTCCTTCTCTAAGGACTGGTCCCTCATGGCCACGTAGCCATAGTAAGTGAGACAGAGCTTCAAAATCTTAGCCTCTAAGGAGAGACTTGGCTTCATCCTCTCCAAGACAGACTTGTTTGTTTTCTTGGTGGTTCTTGGTGTATGTTAACGACTCTTCCAGTGTCACAATTTAAAGGCATCAATTTTTCTGTTATCCTTAGTCATTGTCTAGCTTTCTGATGTATGCAAGTAATTGCAAAGACCATGATCAGGGAGTTCTGGTGGCTTAGTGGCAAAAAGCTACACTGCAATCACAAAGGCCCAAGGTTTGAATCCACCAGAAGCTCTGCTGGAGGAGGGCCAATCTTACCAATCAGATTCGATGGTACACAACAACAATGACCATGATCAGATGCACCTTCGTCTCTGGAGAAGTCTCTGACAGCAGAATTTTCCAGTGCAATTTGTCTTGATTTCCCAAAAGGCAAAGATGACAATGCTTTGTATCACACTTTGGACATGTTACTAGCAGTGGCTTTTTCTTGGAGAGGGACATCATGCTTGAAAAGGTGGAGGATCAGGAAAAGGAAGACAACAATACGGATTGTCACAGTAACTTAAGCAGTGAGGTCAAGTATGTCAAATGATGAAGATGGCACAAGATGGGAGTGTTTGAATCTATTCATAGGGTTGCTATGAGTCATATAGGGTAACAACAACTGTATAAGATTGAAATGGACGACATACTCAATTCTTGGTTCTCCAACCTTTGAAATGAAAGCATTAGATGAGATGGCTCTGAATTTAGGATTCTGAAGTAGCATTTGGACAATACTTGTATCAGTTTCTTCTGTAATAAGATGAGCTTTTTTTTTTTTTACATTTTATAGTGTTCTCACGTCTTTCTCAATCCCACTGTCAGCTCTAGTTCTTTTTTTTTTTTTTTCCAAAGCATTGCAGCACTTTATTAAGAATATTGGTTTTGAATTAGTAGCTCAAGTAACAATTGCATGAAGCCAGATTAGGTGTACTGCATAATACTCATACTTGATTTATTGACATTACTTAGCAATTTATTGGAGCTCTAGTTCTTTTAATGGTATCCAGAGTGCTACTATTAATATGATCAACTGCTCATTGAAAGGCTGGTTTGAGTCCATTTAGTACCATTGGTCAGGATATAAGGAGATGTATTTCTTTGGGCAAGTCTGATGTCAGAGATTTCTCTAAAATAGTGAAGAGTAATTATGTCAGTTTGAAAACTAAGGTTCATCAGATTCAGGCCATGGTCTTTTAAGTTACTTGCTATGTGAATTAAGGATGATGGAAGAATTGATGCCTTTGAGCTGTGGTATTGGAAAAGAGTACTGAATACTCACTCCATAGACTGCTGGAAGAATGAACAAGTAAGTCTTGGAAAAGGTGCAGCCACAGTGCTTCTTGGAGTCAAGGATGGCAAAGCTTTGTCTCTCATACTTTGTTGCTCAGAGACACTATTCCTGGAATAGGATGTCATACTTTGAAAGGTGAAGGAACAGTGAAAGGAATATCCGTATCAAACTGAATAGACACAATGCAGCAATGGGCTGAAGTAGATCAGAGTTATTGAGGAATGCACAGGATAGGACAGGATTCAGATCTGTTGTTTACAGGGTCGCTGAGTTGTACTTGACTCAATGGCACCTAACAACAACAAGGAATAGCTAGGAAAGAAGACCTAGCACTATTATTTCTGAAAAATTAGTCATTGAAAACCCAGTAAAGCAGCCTTAGTGCCATATGTTGTACCATTCTTAACTTGAAATGGTAGCCCCTGCTGTGATCATGCTCCCATTTTCACAGTAACAGCTAGTTTCTCTGGTTGGAATTTTTCTTGTTATTATGTACCATAGAGTCAGAACCGACCCCTAGCTAACCCTCCAGCAGTTCAGATGCATGAGTGGATTTACTTAGTCCAGCTTAATTTATGTTGGGGATGATCTGTAAATTTACCTAGCTCATCTCAGGATAAAACTTTGCTTGTTGCTGTAGGCTTCATCTCTGTTTTGTCATATTGTAAGAATAGCTTGACAAAGGAGCCTGTTCCCCAGCCACAAGACAGGAGAAGCAGTATCATCATTTTTTTTTAAAATTTAGTTTGTTTATTTTTCATTTCGATGAACATCTACAGAGATTTTGGAATTCCATTCATTCATTGTTGCACCCTTCTTCCCGCACAAACCCCTCCCCCCAGTACCAACATTTTAAAGCAGATTCCTATGAAGGAGAGGCTAGACATACTTCTTACCCAACCTTTTGCTAATTATTAAAATGATCTCTCCCTGGCACTTTCTGGGGTTCAAGGACTCAGAACAGTCTCGTTTCAGTTATGCCTGCAGGTAAGCCTCTCCCTTTTCCTTGGCTTCTCAATCCCTGGTACAGTGTTAAACATGGCCACTAAGAGAAATCCAGCCAGTAGGAA